TTCACTTACCGATTAACCAGATCCTGTTTTTTGCCGGAAATCTTCAATCCACGACATTCCAACCATCGTCTCAACCTGTCCGCGGAATTTTCAAGTATGTCGGAATGCAAAAGTTTTGCTCCTGGTACATCGTCTTCAGTTAAGGCAATACGTATAAACGCTTGCGAAGCCGCCATATTTTTGGTTTGTTTGTCCGAGTGACATCCGGGTAAATAGCCTCATGAATATTATGATAATAATAATCTTTATTGTAATCGTATCCTTATTAGGATTTTGACAAAAGTGTACAATAAAGTATAGAGAAAAAAAAAAAGAAAATAAAAGTAAAATAAAAAAATAACATTAAACACATTAAATAAAATTAAAATACATGTAACTATTTAGATTTTGAGGCAGATGACATACTGTTTTTTTTAATATTTTCTTCTCTCAGATTGAAACAGTTGTAAATATATTTAGACAGTTCTATTATAATTGACTCATCATCACTAGTCATTATGGCCATCATTTTTTCTTCATTTGATGTAATATTATTAAGATGTTTTGTCATGGTAATTAGGGGTTCTCTCACATTTGTGTAGAGTTTACATTTGAGCAGGAAGTGTTCTTCATCCTCTATTTCATTTTCATCACAGACTGGACATTTTCTGTCACTTATTTCTACATTACTGTATCTTCCCATTTCAATCTGCAAAACATGTGCACTTAGTCTAAATTTTGATAATGAAGATCGATGATGCGGGTTTTTTATTATGTCTAAGTATTTTTCAAATGTAAAGTCCTTTTTTAGCTGCCTATAGGTACGAAGTTTATTTTTGTGGTTGATGCCTTTATTATCGTTGTTTAGAGTGTTCCTGGCATGTACTTTAAATTTGGTTATTAGTTTGTCAGTTATTTGTTCAATAAAGTTATCTTCTATGTTTTTATCACTCCATGCACTTTCCATGCTTGTATACTCTAGGCAATTTTTTTATGCTGGATACCCAGTTTTGAGTGCCAGAATTGTCTAGAGCGATGCCAAGCTTGTACGCATCATATATTAGTGTATTATCAGGCATTTTTTTTAATTCTAAGCCAATATTTTAACATTTGTTTGATGCCAGTGATAATTAATGGGTATCTCCCTAATTCAATTAAGCATGCAATGTTTGTTGCTCTACTATTGACCTTGAGTAGGAATTTGCAATATTTAATGTGCATTTTTTCCATGGGTGACATGAGATTCATAAAGTATTTTTTATTATTCACAATGTCACCCGCCCAAATTTCACAACAGTATAAAAGAATTGGTTTGATCATTGAGTCAAACATTTTTAAGTATATTTTAATTGGGATTAATGTTTCTGAATATAGTAGCTGTTTAATTTTGAAACATGCCTTCAGTGCCCTATTTTTCAGATCCTGTTGTGCTACATCAAATTTCCCTGTTAAATTTAGTTTCATTCCAAGATATTTATATGCTGAGACTCTCTCTAATTCAGAGCCATTGATTTGGAATTTGAAATTATTTAGAAGCTTGCCTGATTTATTGAAGATCATTGATTTAGATTTAGAAATGTTTATATGTAGCATCCATTGTTTGCAGTAATCCTGTAGATTGTTAATAGCGTTTGTTTTGTAAACCACTACTTGTTTCTGACAAAAGAACCAAGTCATCAGCATAAAGTAAGCAAGAGAGCCTATTGTTTAGTAGCATTGGTGGGTCATTTTTGCCAGATTCAATGTGTGATTTAATATCGTTCACGAATATATTAAAAAGGAGAGGGCTAAGGCCATCCCCTTGTCTGATGCCTCTTTGAACAGGGAAACATTTAGTCATGCCGTTTTTGGTTTTGACTGTACTTGTTGAGTTTTGATAGATGTTTTTAATTACTTGATAGAAATTGCCAGAAATGCCAATTTGTCTTAGTTTGTATAATAGGCCATGGTGCCAAACTGAATCAAAGGCCTTTTGGAAGTCTATGAAACAGGCAAATATATATTTTTTATTTTGAAGATATTTAGTTAGCAGCTGTTTAAGAACAAAAATGTGGTCTCCTGTGCCAAATGTTGGCATGAATCCAATTTGTTCTTTAATTATATAGTTCTTTTCTTGTAGATAAACTGTAAGCCTTTGTTTCATGATGGATGTAAACAGTTTGCTCAGAGTATTGAGCAGAGTTATACCCCTATAGTTGTCTGGGTTGGCTTTGTCACCTTTTTTGTGTATAGGTGTGATAATAC